TTTTGATATATTTACAGTAGGAAATTTACAAAATATCTTCATGGAACATGATCTTTACTTAATAACCTAATGATTTTTGCCATAAAAGAAAAATTTATAATTTTGACCCATACAATGTATTGTTGGCTATTGCTAGAAATATACCCCAGCGACTTAACACTGCTTTTGTGCTCCACGGTCACATATATGAAAATAAAACCATTATAACTGACAAAATATGTAAAAATGTGTTAATTTTTTTCTGTCAATTTAAATTCGATTGTCATCCGCAGTGCATCATGGGATTGTAGATCTTTAACAAACTCTTTAACAAATACTTTTTTAAAATCCTTGCGTACATTACATTTTTACATTTGCATTTTGACGTGCAATCACAGTATACAGTACAGTGTTTTCTTCGGTTGCTAGGGTGTTCTGAGTGGTTGCTGGGTGGTTTCTGATTTATTCCAAGATTGTTAGATCAGATAATGGGATCATATAATGGTTTTATGGATGAATATGAATGGTGATTTTTGTTATAAATGTGTGGTAGATGTCATGAGTGCAGTGAACTGGACAGGTTTCAGGAAGCTTAGAGCTGCATGCAGGGGCAGGGCTGGAGATCAGGGTGTGTGATGGGGGATTTTACTCCTCTATGGTGGGTAAAGAGGGTTAAACGATGGGGGAAGTGTAAACAACATCTGTTTAGCCCCCGCCTTACTTCAGTTTCTGACAAAATACTGGTAACTACCGCTAATACTACAGTGTCACATGCTTTTAGGTTCTAAAACTTCTTGCATTGTTTGAAGAAGTTCATGTTTTGATTTATTGTTTTACAGTAGTAACTGGTATTTTGGGGTATTATTGTGTAAATGTTATGCATACAGATAATAAATGTTGGATGTGCATGGATATATTCACACCCATCCAAACACAGAACACTGTTTCTTCAGTGACGTATCTGTGTAGTGCTGGAAAAACACGTGTGGTCAGTTTTGCATGCGGTTCGTTTGTCTGCAGCTTATTTACGGTTTAATTATTGAGATAATGAGCTGTGAAATGACCGTGCCATCGCTGACTGACCACTTCCGGTGCACTCGTGTTTTCCTTCCTGTCCCGTTTAAAATTTCAGTAAAAAAAATCAGTATTCAAGCTGTTGAAAGTGAAGAATCACCCAAATATTAGGCCTATATACTAGAAATATATTACATAGTGTAAAGCAGCGATAAACATTTTAAACCATATTAAATCAGAAAGTGCCTTCCAGTTCAAATAAACTTGTCTTTGAATAAACCTTGTGTAAAAGTGTCTTTTGGCATTTAAAAATTAGTCAATATTGCTGTAGCTAAACATTTGATGAAGAAACCGTTTTTGCTCAGAAATTGATAGTAAATTTCACAAACAATTACAAACAAACAGCAAAGAATGCATTGAATTAAATGTGAAATTTTGACGTAGAGAAACTGAAATAGTATTTTCCTGTGAAACATACTCGAAAAAGCATTTATACAGTGTGGGAAGTCTTGTCGAGCACATTGCATTGTGGGATTGAGTATCTGTAATGCAGTTGTTTACAAATATAGCACATAATTTGGGTAGGCATATTGTGCACAGAATGCTTATTGTACTTTCTTTTTTTAAAAAGTATGCCATAGTTTGCCATTGTAAATATACAGTTTCTCTGTGTTTTTTCCCAACTGAGGCTACTGGTTTATATGAGTATATTGCTTTTGTGTGTGCTTTATACACGTCTGTTTCGGAGTGTATTCTGTGTGTATTCGCGCTCCATCTGAGAGGCGGGTGCTGTAATTGATATGCCACAAGTAATAAATCAGCCGGTCGCCTGCCACCACTCGCCATTATCTGAGGAGACGGGTTTAGAGGTCTGTCCGCAGTGTGTGGACGTGAATTTATGCTGTTTTCTAAAGCAGAGGGGCTGTGAGACGACTCGCAGAGTAACGTGCCCTCGGGCAGCTGTGGGAAAAATGGAGAATGAATTGACTTCCATATTAACTGTGTCTCATGTTCCTTATGCTGAAATGTACCCCAGCGCTTGTTTCGTTGGTGTGTGGCGGTTTCTAAGGATGAATCTCACAAAACCTGTCAGGAACGTTTCTTGCCCGAAGCATTTTTTGCTTAAAGATAATGAAGAATGTTTTTAGGAGCATTGCATGTCCTCGATGAAATGCTGCGGTTGTTTTAAATAATTGAATAAAACATTTAAAAACAAGTTATTGGATGCTTATGCATAAATAAAGCTTGTGGTAGATGTGTCAGTAAATAAAGGTTCTATGACTATAATGTGTTTGCACAGTAGTCTGTCTGTGGTTTTAGGATGTGTGCGAGTGGCTCATTTGACACGAGTAGAATCTGATGCCAGTGATAATATTGAGCTAGACTGAGATCCGTGACATAAATAAAAACATCTGTGATAACTGCAGCTTGCATGGGCATGCATATATATATATATTTCATTCAGCGGCTGTTTCACTCATTTGGTGTTTGTGGATTCATTGATTGGTGTCATTTAAGTAGTTACTGATCGTCTGAAGTGCAGGTACTCATGGGAAATTGGCAAATCTAAAAGTGGAAGATGAGAACACAAGATGAAAAGAAAGCCTTCAGGGATGTTAGACAAGAATTTCTTTTATCGCTTGATGAGATTGATATTTCTCCTCAGTTGTCAGTACTTTCTGAGGCGTTTAGGGAGACATTCTTTCATTTGTATTTTCACATTCATTCGTTTCAATACTCATGCTCGCTCATATCTCTAAACTCGCTACAAATACTTGTGTGTTGACTGTTTTAACCGTTTCATTGCCATGTAGCTGTTGGAGGACACACAGATGCACTTTGGTTTGTTATTTATGGTCGACTCTGTCATGGAACAATCCGCTCAAATGAAGAGAAATGAGGTTTGGGAATCTCGTACAGGTTTCTGTCTTAATCATTCTGTATTTCGTGCACATGCACACAAACATTACACATAGTAACGCAACAGGCACAAAATATAGCCTAACTTATGATTTGCCTTACTGTGGCGGTACCATAGTAAATTGATGGTAATGGCATGGTACTGAATGGTTACAAAATTCATGTACTTTTGTAGTATTTCAGAGCGAACCACGGTACTACCATTTCGTGGGTTACACTGGGGAATGTTTGTAAGGGTTACCAAACTTGCATATATGGAAAAATAACAGAACAATTCAAAATTTCTATATAAAATATGATAGCAGCTCATCTCTGAAATGGAATCGTTTTAGTTGGTTGGCCCTCTGCTGATAGACAGAGGAATACTTTCCCTTTTCCAGTCCATTTTCACGCATGTTTCTGAAGCTCTGTGGAATGACGCCACTTCCCATCATCCCGTCCTTGGGGAATGATGGACAGATAAGAAGGCCCTCAATCACCCGAACAGGAAAAAAGCAATGGAGATAAGAAATGGGCAAAGAAAAGGAGAGAGAAAGGAAAACATTCTTCCTATTTTCCCTCAGCTCTATCTCCCCTCTTTATTTCCTTTATCTTTCATAGTTTTCACTTGCCTCTGGCTCTCTCCTGTTGCTGAGATTTTCCTGTTTTTGTAGTTCTGACTCCGTGAAATCCCCAGTGGAAATTAAGGTGAACTCAGATTTGTTTGTTTGGATTTATTTTCCATCATCAGCAGAATTACAGTCTGTTTTCCTAACAATTAAGTAGGTAGTAATTTTTATCAGGTGCTTTTATCCAAAACAACTACAGGTATAGTTCCTCTGGAGCAACCTGGGGTTAGGTTTCAAGTATAGACTGTATAAAAACATGGGCGTAGTGTCCGTGACGTCACCTGTAGGTTTATGAAGAGCATTTTTAAAGCCCAAAGTGGGTGGAGCTGGCTGTCGCCATCTTGGCAGCGCTTCACTCACACGGAAGGTTGGCGCTTGGTTTCAAGGCAGCCCTTTTGAGCTACCAGTCCAGATTTTTATTTACTGTAATATCACCCTGTTGAAAAAAACAGCATATGCTGGTTAGGTATGTTTTGATGCTGGTTTATGCTGGTCCTTTGCTGGTTTATGCTGGTCATGTGCTGGTCCTAAACTGGTCCGACCAGCACATGACCAGCATAAACCAGCAAAGGACCAGCATACCAGCTTCATAACATACCTAACCAGCATATGCTGTTTTTTTCAACAGGGCAGTTCTGGGTTTGTTGATCTGTTGACTTTAAATGGCGATGTCTAAAATCTTAATACATTTTTGAGTAACCCTGAAGATCTTGATTAGCTTGTACAGTTATCTTTGATTAGGTCAGTGGCTGTCCAGAGGCAGATTAGAGGAACCCTGGTCTAAACTTATGGCCCAGTTACTATTAATACTTGGTGTATAGGCCTAGCATATTTTTAGCACAGTTTACTGGTTTGTCACCACTTTGGATCATTTAGCCTAACCATGGTGTACAGCTATAAATGAATCTTCGTAATGCATTGTTGTGGAACTCTTCCTGGCTTTATAGTGCAATCTGTGTTCTCAGAGCTGTACATTTGAAAATGACAAGATGTATAAATCATTTCAAGATGACTTGAAACGGTACAATATCATTTTCTTTTCCTTGTAATGTTCAGAACAACTTCAAGCATTTCAGAACTCAAAGACTTACTTTAGACTTGCTTGTTTTCAGGGCACTTTTAAAGGTGCACTGTTATGTACTTGCATACTTCATCTACACAGTGCTGCTGTCAGATGCTTTGTGATGATAGATGTCTTATGCCCATATTGAATCAGGACCAACTCTACAGCTGCGGTGTTGCTTAGTGAAGAGTTTGTACACAGTGCGTCTCCAATCCATCTTCACCCTCAGAGCTATCAGTCTCAGTAATTAAAAGTTGACATGGTTCACCTCATTTGACCACACGATTCTAAATGGTTTGTGGCAAAATGAAAGATATCGTCTTGACTCTCTTTCCTCACTGTTTGACTTTGATAAATGATGCATAATGAATTGGATATGTTCCATTTGCACTCATAATGTGTTTTTTGCCCTGCAGGAGCCCAGGACGAGGAATTGAGGTGGATGTTGAAGTGGATGACCGTTGTGTGCGAAGGCAAAGAACCGTTCAATCAATAAAGCATGTGCTAAGTCCCTTTCTTATTTGCTGAGTTTGTTTAAAAGTCCCTGATTGAAGACGAAGTGTGGACCACCATATTCTTCACTTGTGAGGACTAGGGCAGAAATGTGGCCTCAGCAGTGGCCACAATGCTTTATTAGCCCAAAGACTGTGGTGCTTTTTGGGCTGCTGACTATCTGCATATTCCCTCACCTTTCTGAAGGATCCCCAGAGCCATTTAGGTCCTTCTTGCCCCCTGACTGGGGTCTAACGCATTTAGCCATCCATAACAAGACAGGGGATGTGTATGTTGGTGCGGTAAACTGGATATACAAGCTTTCTAGCAACTTGACCAAGTTGAGGAGTCATATGACGGGTCCTGTATTGGACAACGAGAAATGCTATCCACCTCCAGGTGTACAGTTATGCCCCCATGACCTTGCCCCAAATAGTAATGTGAACAAGCTGCTGCTAATAGACTATGCCCAAAACCGACTCATTGCTTGTGGTAGCACCTCGCAAGGCATTTGTCAGTTTCTACGCCTGGATGATCTTTTCAAGCTTGGTGAGCCACAGCACCGTAAGGAACACTACCTCTCCAGCGTCGTCGAGTCAGGAACCATGTCCGGAGTCATCATCTCTGAGGGCCATATCAGCAAGCTTTTCATTGGAACTCCCATCGATGGAAAATCAGAGTACTTCCCAACTCTTTCGAGCCGTAAGTTGATGGTCAATGAGGAAGATGCTGACATGTTCTGCTTTGTCCACCAGGACGAGTTTGTCTCCTCCCAGCTGAAGATCCCCTCGGATACGCTGTCCAAATTCCCGACGTTTGACATCTACTACATATACAGCTTTAGCAGTGAACAGTTTGTCTACTACTTAACCTTGCAGTTGGATACCCAACTAACTTCTCCTGATGCCAGTGGGGAACAGTTCTTCACCTCTAAGATCGTGCGACTCTGTATCGATGATCCCAGGTTCTACTCCTACGTGGAGTTCCCAATCGGATGCACCAAAGATGGCGTAGAGTACCGACTGATCCAGGACGCCTACTTGGCCAAACCCGGAAGGCAACTTGCAAACTCTTTGGGCATATCCGAGCAAGAGGACATATTGTTTACGGTCTTCTCCCAAGGCCAGAAGAACCGGGCCAAACCCCCAAAAGAGACAGCACTCTGCCTGTTCACGCTAACGAGAATAAAGGAGAAGATAAAGGAAAGGATTCAGTCGTGCTATAGAGGAGAGGGCAGGCTGTCTTTGCCCTGGCTACTCAACAAGGAGCTACCATGCATCAACTCGGTAAGTCCACCTTCTCATGGCAGGCCATTAAGACGCACTGCATGGCTACGACGATTGATTTGTTGGGTTGGAATGGGTGTGCTTCAGTAATGTCCTCTGCCAGAGTTCAACTTCCATTATCTTGGTGCAAAGGGTGATTGTGATTAGATATAAGTGGTGAAGTTGTAGATCAGACTAGGGTTGTGAGGATGGGACCGCTGGGAATGTCAAGTAGTGGCCTAGTAAATTCCTCTAGATAAGTAGAGTCTCTACTCATTGGGTTGGGGACTGCAAATTTGAGGACGGCCCTACTGTACAACCATTGTCAAGAACCTGAAGACCTAGACTATTACCTTGTGTCTAACTGTGTCTAATATTCTAATGTCATTTAAATTGTTGTAGAATATAAATATCACAAGCACCCACCTCCTGTTTCCTTTTGTGTCCATTCTCTCTCGTTGTCTTTCTCCCAAGTGCTTCCATTATTCAGTCAGACAGAAACATCATTAGGGGAGTTGAGTAAATTTCATGAGTTACTCTCTCGCTCATGCTATCTAATTTGTTTAGCGAGGCTAGATCCCATCTTCTCTGCCATCAGAGTCTGCTGGGACCAGGGCTTGCTTTTTGTCCTCTCGTTCGCTCGCTCTTAATCTCTCTCTCCTCATTCGTCTCTGTTCGTCTCACTCGCTCTGTCTTTCTTGGGGCTTTCAGTGGCAAAGAATGGCTTTCATTTAACCAAGCACTCAGAGATTAAGATAACCATTTTTATTTTTCTGACTCATTCCAAATTGGTTTGATCTTTGCTCTTTCTTTATATTCAAAGTCTATCAGAAGAGCTCTAAGCGGGTGGAATAATATAGAATGAAATACATTTTTGTGTAGCAAAACATATGGATATAGAGTGGCTGAATGCGTGATGTCTAAATACTTCAACGTTAGAAATCGGCAAAGTTCTTCACTCTTTTTTTGTTTCATAAAGTTCAAATATATAACAATGGGCTCTTCACACTGTGCTTACCACTGGCTTAGTGTCTTTTTAAATCCTTGCTTATGGCCATTTTTAATCCGGGTTATCCCTGGCCTTTACACAACTGACCCCAAATTTCAGTCCTAAAACTCTACAGTGAGAAACAATTAAGGAAGAGCCTAGATGGTTGACTAGTCATCCAACTAACTAGTCAATTAGTGATTCGGTGGCAAGTACAGTGCTGCTTTTAAATGGAGGTTTATTTCACAATTGTAGCAGGAACAATTCTTAAATTGTTGTATAAAAACCACTCAACAAAACTTCTTCAACCTTGAATGGTTGAATGCAGAGTGAGTTTCACACTGTGAATCTGAAATGCTCAGGTTTCGTTGAAGCACATCCAGGATGCATATAGGGACGTGTTATGCTAGTTATTTGGAGCCTTTCTCATGACACTAAAAATTTCAATTTCAAAAAGCCCTTTAAGATTTTTTTCAGAGGTTATGCTAGTTTTGAATGACTGTTAGAGAAGGTTTCTTATTTTTGCAGTCTATATGGAAATCAGAGTGGCACAGTCCGTGGTGTAAAATGTAAATCATGTTTAAAAATATTGTTTCCAAACAAATTTATAGATTTCATTTTCTACGATCTTTATCAGATTCAAATTTGCTTAAAGTTTTTAAAACCACAACACAACACAAAACATTTTGACACATTGTTTGGCTTAGTTCCCTCAAATAGTTCACTGAAAAATCTAAATTCTCTCATTTACTGACCTGAAGATGGATGTCAAATGAGTTTGCAGTGACATAATGGTGAGTAAATGATTACACTTTCTGGTTTTCGAACTATTCCTTTTGATTATCCTTGCTAAATAATCCTTGTTGTTGGCGTGCTGCTTGACGTCAGTGATTAAGTACACCGCTAATTAACCTCTTTAATGCCGCATGTCTGACAGAAGCGCCGCACCTGAACGTGTTCTTACTCACAGGGACAGAAACGAGCCGTTTAAATCTCATCAAAACAGAATGCTGAAAATCTGGTGCTGCTCAAATGATTCGCGCTGATCAGATCAGGCAGCATGCTTAATAAAACTCGTTTAACGCAAGAAATCTAAACATAGTTTGTACAGTCACATGTCTCTCTGTCCCGCTCTCCCTGTGGAATGTGGTGTGTTTGGTTTCGCCTCTGCCCTGGGCAGACACATAATCAGCAGTCTGAAAACATCTCGCATACACACTCACGCACGTCTATTTTTGTGAGGTTATATGTGTGTGTGTGTGTGTGTGTGATGGTATGTCCCTCTGCGACCCGTTTAGTCCTGCATTAGTTTTCACTTCACTAGTAAAGTGTGAATGTGTGTCTGTGTGTGAGAGAGAATGTAATTACTTTAGCACACACACTTTTGAGTGAATGCAATGCTCATCTTGTCTGTGTGACCCACGAGGATTGAGAGAATACTGCATCACATCAGCCATCAATTGAGTGTGTAATAGCAGTGGGACCAGAGCTCTGATCCAAAATTCATCATAGGTGCTCACGACTTAAAAAAAAAAAAACATACACTATTGTTCAAAAGTTTGGTGTTTGTAAGATATATATATATATATATATATAAAAAAAACAACACTTTTATTGATCAAGGATGCTTTAAATTGATCAAAAGTGACCGTAAAGGCATTTATAATGTTACAAAAGTTTACTGTTTCAAATAAAAGCTGTTCTTTTGAACTTTCTATTGTTCTTCAAATTCTAGAAAAAGAATAGAAAGGTGAATCCTGAAAAATAAAATTGTATAAGTTTCCACAAAAATATTGGGCAGCACAACTGTTTTCAGCATTGATAATCAGAAATGTTTCTTGAGCAGCAAAGCAGCATATTATACTGATTTCTGTAGATCATGTGACACTGAAGACTGGAGGAATGATGCTGAAAATACAGCTGTGCATCACAGAAATACATTACAGTTTAACAGATATTCACATAGAAAACAGCTGTTTTAAATTGTAAAAATATTTCACTATTACAGTTTTTACTGTTATTTTTGGATCAAATAAATCCATCCTTAGTGAGCAGAAAAGACTTCTTTTAAAAACATAAAAAATGACTTGAATAGTATTATATATCTATATTCAATTCTATAATGCTATAATTCTATAAATTCTATCGAATACAAATTTCAGCTTTTTTTCTGTACAGCCGTTCAAAGGGATTGCCTTCATGCTCATAGTTAAAAGTCTGATATTTAAATAAGCTCAGCTCATGATGGCATAAAGATGTTGAATTAAATTACTTTTGATGTTTTCAAAGTGATAAATCCTCCAGCTGAGCTTTCAGTGTGTGCGCGCGAGAGCATCTGACTGCTTGACATCAGGTTTTTAGCTCAGAGGAGAAAAAGCGAGTTTGCTAAGTGAATTGATGCCCGTCTGACTCCTTCCTCTTTCTTTCTTCTCTTTCCTTTCTTCCTGCTGTGAGATAGAGACTCTTCTGGATGGATTAAGACAGAAAGAAAAACAAAGAGTAAAGGAGAGGTGAAGAGAGAGAGAAAGGTTATTGATGTATGCCTGGGCGGCTTTAGAGGACGCGCGCACACACACACGGACACAAACAGACACGCACACACACAGACACACTCACTCAGTCACACACACACACACACCCACACACACACTCTCTCACACACACAAACAGACACACTCACTCACACACACACCCACACACACTCTCTCACACACACAAACAGACACACACAGACACACAAACAGACACACA